CTAAAACCAGATTAAATTTGCATAAGCTCGAGAAAAACTCTTTTAAAGATTTCATGGGTTTGCTTAGTCTCCTCCTATAAATCTGTCAATACGACCGTTTTACCGCCAATTAAATATGTAATTGGATTTCCAACTTTATTCGATGGAGATTCGTCAGATGGGATCGTTTGGGAAAACTGAGAAGCAATTCTAAAAGATAAATGCCAGTAGGTACTTAAACTGAACTGACTGTTCATTTAACAACAGTCTCAGTGGGAAGTTTTACTGCAACTCCGTCCCGCTAGAGAAATAATACAGCAGTAAACAACTGAATTGCTCAATGAAAATCATTTAATTTGAATTCGATTTATTGTGTTTTGTTCAAAATGTGTATGCGAAATGATGTTTTTTATGTTGGAAAATTTTCTTCATTTCCGACCTGGCATTTTATGTATAAAAAGGAAATAACTCAATTAGTATCGATAAAACATGTGGTTGACAGTGGTTTTTGTTAAATTTTAGATTTTTGGAATTTCTTTTGTCTAAAAGGATCGATATATTTAGAAAAAACGAAAACGATATTGAGACATTGAATAAACAATGAAAGATCCAATTCGAAAGCTAAACCGTAACGTGAACTAGAATGATTTGTTTGAAGGTAATTGACAATGTTTCATGATGAATTTCATTAGTTCACGAAAACCAGGCCACCAAACGCGGACTGCGATTCCAAGAATTGCATTTACCGGATACCCTGCGAGTGTGGAGAATCATACATCGGTAAAACTGAGAGGCCATTGAAAATTCGCACTGCCGAGCACAAGAAACACATAGAGCGAGGGGAAACCAGCAAATCAGGAATAGCAGAGCATGTTTGGACTAATCAACATAACATCAAGTGGGCTCAAGCTGAAATGTTCCACAAATAGGAATACTGGTTAAGGAGAAAATTTAAAGAAGCCACATATACGTGGTCCAACAACGCATTTAGCCAAGCTAGCGTAGAGATACGCAACATATGGAAACCTCTAATAAAGCGGAAGACGACCAACTCCCGCCAAACGGTCAGCTTCCACTAAAACCGACGAAAAAAAGGCGATGTATTTCCAACAGGAGTCCCCAATTACAGGAAATGCTATTATTACAGAGTCTATATGAAATAAATATTGAAAATAATGGAATATAGAAATGTATAAAAGTGAATGCTAAAACAAAGTATATATAAAATATTCCTATACGTAAAATTTCAAACGATGAATGAAAAATTGAGTATATAACACAAAACGTTACAAATCATGCAATGTAGCAGTAATGACACAAATGTTATTTATAGTATTGTTACGATATTTACTTGGGGTTCGTTTTTAAAACAACAACACTAATAATACTTGGACAACTTAAATACACAACTGCTGCACTGATTATAGTTCACTTAGAATACTCGCTTGCTTGAGTAACTTCGAACACTCTCTTACTACTACTCCCCTCTGCAGTGGAAGTCATCTTGAATTTAGACAGGTTGGAGCCTATCTCCCTTACCTTTTGGACTGGTGTTTGCCAGAAGGACAAACGGGTCATGACTGATGTGGGTGTTAATGGTATGGCGGCATGAGTGTCCTCAGACATCAGTACCGCCCTTCACGGTGTACCCCTACCTGGCTGGGGTGAATTGAATGAAAACGTTGTTCATCTTTCAACGGAAGATATAGGGGCCTCATTTGACAGAGTGTCGGGGCCTTCTATATCGGGAGGGGTCATCTACAGTATAATCCATAGCTTCCCTAACTAATGGGTTTTCATGAGTTTCTGCACCATCGAAAACTCTCTGATTTCTCGACTGAATGGACTGCCGAATGGATGGCAGCTGCAAATCTCTGCGGATGGCTTCATTCCGCACGAACCAAGGAGCATTCACAACCATCCTTATTAGCAAATACTATCCTCTGCCGAAGGGACTCGATCTTTTATAGTAAGATCGATGCATCTAGAATTTCTAGAAATTCCATATCCATCGCGATGTTTCGCTCTCAGGATCGACGTTGGAATTCTTTAATTGAGACTTTTCCAGTTACCGCCTAAGAAAGCAACGCGCGTGTGACGTCATGCTCAGGTAGAGGCCCTCCGTCGAATTGGGTGAATGTAGTCAGCTGCGGCGTTAGGGATTTTGTAACAGTATTATTAAAAATGATTGTGGATACATGATACCTAGGCGTTCAGAGAGTCAAAACGAATATCGCAATGTTCACAGATTTTATTGAAGCTACTACACATAAACTTCAATGGTGAACGTTGCATGACATTTGTGCGTGATGTTTTGCAATAGAATTTCAGATTGTGTCGACCTTCACTTCATGGTGAAGCGGAGAGAGGGAAGAGGGGATAGGTGAAAGCACTCGAATGATCTATAAATAGTCAGATCTCGAAGAGGAATAAGTCCAGTTATCACTCGATAACGAAAATATTATTTCTCTAATAATCTCATTTTGATCCATTTCTATACCATGAGTTGGTCCGCCACTGGCATACTAAGAATAGATTATCAACTACAGAACGCCTACATAAGCAACCATAGATCTTTTCAAACGACGCGACGATGAAATGTTTATTGTGGTACGTCGTGCCATCTGGGGTCCAATAGCAGGATCATTTGATCAAGACTCACGAGATATTTCGACAGTCACCTCTACAGATTGCTGTACAGATTTCAATTATAATTTTAAAAATTTGTAATTTTTCGAACAATGTTGGTTGATTGATAAGACAGCAAAATTCCACTAGGTCGTCAATGATCATCCGGATCACTTTTGGGAAAAAATATGCGTTCAGGGGTCGAATGGGAGTACAGCTTTTCCTCACTCTCACCAAAATGTTCAATCAGTAAGTTTTATATTGTAGATATTAGGTATATGTACTATATTCTCTATTAGACCAAAACAGAAGTTTGTTAGAAACGCAGGAAAAAATAGAATGATAACGGCATAAAAATAATTAGAAAAGGTAGAAAATGTTTCACGTAGGATGAAATAGGATGAATTTTAAGGGTAAAAAATGGTTTTTCATTACTCCCTCTGAAACTAGTCCTCCTATTGGAAAAAAACGAGTACAAAAGGTATAGAAAATATTCTATGAACCATTTTTCCATACAACCTGAAAATTTTCGAGAATATTGGAAAACGCGTGTTTTTCCCACTACAAATTTGATATCTAGTGGAAACGTACCTGTATTGGAATCTAAACTTTCACAAAAATATTCTATTTTAATGTTAAACCTAACAAAATTCATTTGTAGCCTAAAACAGTCAAGTGCTAAAAGCAGCTTTTTTTTCAAAATCAACTGGTATTTTCCATGGATGGCGTGACAGAAATGCAAAAAGGTTGTCAAAAAAACGAATAACTGGAAAAATATGATTTCAAATGAATAATTGAACATTTTTCTGAAAAAATTTTCCACTGAAAAAATTTTCCATGGTATACTTAAATTCCATAATAGCACAGGCACTATTTTGGAATCATCTGAAAGATTTTTCAATATAAAAGGCCACTGCTAGGATCTTGATATTTTTTTGGCATGTTTTAGGCAAAATAAAATCTGAAATATGGATAAAATATACATACAATTTTTTTAGTCGAAAAGACAATTGTTTTTGAAAAATTCTCATTTTGTGTTAAGAAATTGTTCCCAATTGAGTTGTGAAAAAAGTGTAGATTCGATGAGAATTGTGAAAATGTTGTAAATTTCAACACAAGGTACGTTTGATATATGATACATTTATACTCTAACAAATATCTTCAATAGGCTAGTTCTCCGGTACAATCAAATAATTTATTTACCGCGGTTGCCAAGTCCAGTAAACTTTATTGATTAACTGAAATGATGATCAAAAACACTCGTAGCGTCTATAAATTAAAAATATATTATTAGTTTAGTTTCAGTAAAAGTTTCAACATCAACTCTGTTAGGTTATTACAATCTAGATGAGGATTCTTTATGTTATTTTGCATTTCATCAGTATATCATAGTATCATAGTATACCAAATCATCAATGATAAGTCTGTAACTATGAAAATATGAGACACCTTAATAATTTACATATCCTTGTAAAGAGTTTATTTTGAACCGAATGCCTTTCAACCTTCCTTCGGAATTTTTACACAATTTTTTGTATAAAGATGTAGAAATAGAAAGCCTTGGACTTTTTTCCGAAATTAATTTTGATGTTTTTAAATCAACCTTACTCAGGTCATTTTATATACTCCCAAAAACAAACATTCTTTATAACTCCTTTATAAAATAACTTCAGCTTATTCAATCTTCAATTTATTGTATACAGAGATTTTACTGATATCTACTGAATTTTTGGATAAATAAAACTATGAAAAAAATTCCTGGCAATTTTGGCCCTGGCTGACATTTCAGCTAGCACCGGCCCTGAATGGTGATTGGGGTTCAGGGGATTGGTGAAGTGATATATACTATTTTTTCTATTAAAAGTCAAAATCCTTATATCAAGAAAAACAGTGAAGAAATGGACAGTTGAACTATCCAGGAAAATAAGATCAGACCAAGTCACAAGAACCTTGGCAAACCTGCTTGACCTCATACCTGGTCAAGGTCATAAGTGACTTCCATGCAATCCGGCTCAAATAATCTATCAGGAAAATTAACAATTAGTGTCAGAATGAGTTTTAGTTGATAGGGAATACTATTATTCAAAAGATAGTTTAAGGAGAAGGAAGATATAAACTCACATGAAATATTTTATGTGTGTGGTACATAAACATTTAAATGAAACCTCATATTTTGAAACTAGGAAGACAAGTGCATTACTGTTTGCAACAGACAAAATATGCATTTATTTATAGGTTGAGAAAATTATCTAATGGGTCGATTTCGGCATACGTCTATATCATATGGAAAATAAAAATACGTAGTTTTAACTTATGACCAAGCAACTAATATTTTCAACTCTTCTAAGGTAGAATTACTAGCTTCAAATAATTCATAAATGAAAATTGCTTACCTCGTTTGATGTTCTTCAGTTCACAGTTCCCTTAGGAATTGAAATCCACAAATGATCATTGCAACAAAAAGAGGGTTATTCTTATTTTTATCTTCGTTATTGAAATAAATTGAATGATATTGCGGATGTAAATAATATATCCCTATTTATATTCATGGCATATGTTACGCCCCTTACAAAAAAATATGTAGACGATATCGATATTTTCAATTTTCAATAAACCGGAAATATTACTTCAAATAGTTCAAATCGAATCCCCACTCAAGAAAAATTGCGCCAAACCTTATCAAATAATTTTAAATTGTGCATTCTTCTTTCAGCAATCACCACAAATTGTATATAACAGGAAGCCCCATTTTTCTGAGAATGTCGATATGCAAAATAGTTTATAGAAATGTGACTTCACCACAGATTATGTACACTATTGCCTAAAAAAATTTGCCAATGGTATGTTAATTATGAAATATAGACAAAATTTTAACCTTAAAACTTGGATTGCCAAAATCACGTGACAACTTTTGCTTGCTGTAAGTTGAAAAAATCAAATGTACCCACAGGGCGATTGTAGTAGGTTAATGATTGACCCGTATATCCATCGAACTTAAAGGCTATTTTAATATACCAGGACCAGCTCAACACCATCAATGTATTCCTATCTGTACCAGAATTCCATTACAGACAAAATCAAAGTCGATATTCAATTCAACTACCTACAAAACTAACAAATGACAATATATATATATCAGTGTCAAATGAATGAATAAATGTTTCAATTTCATTCTTTAAAATGAAGTGAAGAGAATCCAACAGAATTATAATTCTTTCTTTTTTTTTCCTTCATGAAGTCATCAACATTTACTTGAATATCAAGGGTCCATTAGCTCTAATTCACCCTTACGCTCTCAACGACTGATTATTTGTGCAAATGTGGCATATACTCGGAGACTTCAAACTTTTGATTTTCTATGAATGCCATTAATTTTCATGAATTATTACATCTTCTGTATATGCAACCCTCAACATTGAAAATTTGTAAGCTGTGTCATCTATTTGACTACATTCGAGTTGATGCACTGAGATGCACAGTGTCTGTTTTGAATTTCACAAATTATTCTCAGAACCATTTCTCAAATTGAACAGTTTGGGTTCATGAGTTTGAGTTTACTGAGACAATTATTTGACATCTGTCATATATCATTCTATAAGGTTCCTAATTCCCCTAAATTTTTCGACATTGACAAAATAATTGCAATTTGATAACTCAAGCAAAAAAACAAATTCAAAACTAAAGTGAAGGTACAATAAGCAAATGGCAACCGACACTACAGACAGGCTCTTGAAACTATAATTTCCGTGTTGTTTTTTCAATTTGTAAATCGCAAAATGACAATATTGAGCGTTGGAACAATAAATTGATGGATGTAGCCGTTGTTGAAGTCTATGAGTATTGTTTGTTGTCTGCTGTCAATTGTCGCTTTGTTCTATATATAAATAATATCACATGGAGTCACAGAACATATATAATATATGTCATCTCTTATTTATGTCTGCTTTTGACATAGATTTATAATAAACAGGGTGAAAGAATTTTAAGAGTATAAGTAACTGTACGTTTTTAGTCGCAGATAATGTGACAATGTTCAAATGAAGTGAGGAAAAGGGAAGTGATACAGTGGCGGCTAGCTGGTGACGTAGTCTCCATTGTACCTGTGCCCGTGCCTCGACCTTGCAAGGCCTAAATCAAAAAAATGATAGGTTTGTTCCTATGTTTCTGATTGTTTCTCAGTGAGACTCTCCTACCTTTAATATAATTTATTACTTTGAATGCAGGATGGTTCGACCATTACCTTTTATCCAGTATAATTTTTGCTACTTCTGGTACAAGACAAGAATGTAAACAGTTTTAGCCCCGCCCCACTACACAGGCAGTGTTATTTTTCACATATAAATCAATTCCCTAATTTCCCAGAGAATCCATGTTTTTTCCTGTAATCATATTTGAGATAGATATATTAACGGGGAAGACTGCACATTATTTTGAGGTTTTTAATCTCTTATGTATTTGACATAGCCACAGGGAATTGAGGTTTAAAATTTAAACCATACATATTTCAAGTTGAGGTAGGCATTCCATGCATATCATCACCCTGAGATAAACTATTTTTGATGGATTTTTAAGTAGTCAGTGTCAAATAAAATGTATCAGGGCATGCCCACTGTGATACATCAGATATTAATAAAGTTTAGTGAATAAGTGTACCAAGTTTCATAAAAGGGGAACAGTTTGTAGTGTGAATATTTGCTGAATTATTGATAGTAAACTGTTCATTTCATCAAAATGTTCAGGTAAATTTACGGGGAGGACCTTTTCTTGCCATCATTTTTGTAATTGCATAATATTTTCACTGAACTTGGATCACTTGGAAAACTATATAGATAAAGTGAATCAAAAGGTAATTGAAACTTGAGTTTAATATTCAACGTGTTAACCAATTCATTTCTTTTCTTGGATTCTGCCACTTCATTTATCGGTTTATCCTGGAATGTTTTTGATAATTGGTTATATTTTCTGTTGTTAACTTCCACCAACCTACCTGTGAAATTTGTGAAAATGCAAAACAATGGCTGATGGTATATATTTGTATACAGCACATTCATTAAAAATAATTCACCAGTATATATCAGAAGCAAAAAATAACATAAAATTTTAGACAAAATTGCAATTTTTGCCTTGTTTGAAACACAGGGATTGCTTATAAGTTCAACCCTCTGTTTTTCAATAGCAGATGGTATAGAGCAATACCGTATCGTATTGGGTTTTCAAAGCAAACTTTATTATGTTTATTCATGATTTTGCTTCAATATTTCACCAATCCACTTGATAGTTCTTGTACTCGAATTTCTTAACGTGGTGGAGCACCATACTGCTGATAAAGTAAATCAGAAGATTATCTATCTAATCAATTCCATTGATTTTCAGTACTGTCAAGAGCTCAATTTTTTTTCTAACAAATTAAATAAAAGTATGTATGTTTTGCAGCTTTTGAGTACCAATAGTCAATTAACAACTCATTAAGAAAAAAATGATATCACTGATACAGATATTTCTGTTGCATATTTTATTTGACATATTTTTGATACCTACTAAACTGCATCTATGAATTGTTTACATGTTAATAAAAAAAATCAAATCTGTTTTTGCAGGTTGATTATAACCATATGTTAATGTTCACCATTTCAATTACAATTGTACTGTATTTACTATTGAAATGTGAAAACTGATACTTGCACGAATGTTACTTATTAATAGCATTCTGTATTGAGTTTTCAAACTCTGTATCAAAATGAATTGTTACTGTATATTCTATGAAACTTGACCACAAAACTTTTTCTACTTCTCGATTTAACAATGTTGATCTGAATTTTGGTATTAATCATAAATATTTATTCGTTGTTATCATTAGACTTGGAATTCAAACCCACAATACTGAAAATAAACTAGCCGTCCATGAATTATCATCTTTACTAATTGTGGTTTTTCATCCACATCATGTTAATTTCAGTTGATGCATGTAAACTTGAAAAATGAATTTTACAGAAGAGCTGTGTGAATACTCGAATTTTTATACATTCATTTACACCTTGTCTGCATAATTTTCCTCCTCACCAGGTCATGAGGTCATCAGTTATGTTAAATGGTCAATTAGTGCATGTACATGATTAAGCTGTTCCTTAATTTGAAGGTAATTTAGATTAGCTAAATTGAAGGCAGTTATTATTGATACGTAATGTTCAAGTTTATAGAAGGATATGTGCTCCGTGCTACAGTTTAACAGGGAATATTCGAAGAAAGGTATTTTTAAGGAGATTTTTATTTTGAAAATCTTGTTTTGGCATTCTTGAGTAGAGGAGGATGAAACTATTATACTTCTCATATTCAAACTTTAGAAAAACATATAGTTCGAATATAATTTACGCAAATTTTAGTTCTTCGCTGTTTCTCTCTGCATATCTCTTCGAGCTCTTAATGTTAAATAAAACTGAAGTATGAGCTTTGCCAATGTATCTCTCCGACTAAACTTTAGGAGCTCCTTGAAAATTGTAAGAAAGTTCACTAAATGGTTTATAGACGAATTGAAGATTTAATCTAAACCCTCTAATTTTGAAATTGGCTAAAGTCGTCTCATAGATAGTAAAATAAATGAAGTGCTGTACTCACTATAATAATGTGAAGAGTTATATGAAATCTTTCATCCACAAAGTTTCACTTTAGAGAGTGAAAGCTTTTAATGTGCGAAGTACAACAAATAATGGTGTAGAAACCCATCAGAAAACTACTACGTTACTCTAAAGAAACTTGCAATATCTCAAAGTTGTAATAAATTTCCATACCACCATAACAAAAAATGTGAAAAAAAGCAACAGTTCCTCATGGACTTATTGCGTTTTTTTCCATCTTTCACGACACCAAATCCAAAAATCTTGTACCCTAGTGTGAACAGGTTATCTAGAGCATCACATTCGCATAAAACATTGTCTGCAGTTGAATTCTCCGTTGTACAGTCCTATTTTGTTCAGGTGTCTTTTACAGTGAGTAGCCCTGTAATTATTCTGAGCCAATCCCTGCTTTGTTGAAGCAGTTCTTTCATTCTCTTCTCGGGCAGTTTTTTTATAAAAATTTTGCCATGTGTGTTCCTGGGTATGTCTTCCCTGTACTCTTTAAGTTTATGATATATGATGGAATTGGCCGATACTCCATAACGTATTCAAGTAACATTTCATTGTGATATTTTTACTGAACAGGTTACAAAACTGCAACACGTGTTTCGCTATATAGACAGATAGATAGATTTTTATTTGATCACGTTATGAATATACATTTGTGACAAGTCATAGATAGTTGGTACAATAACTTCCTTAGAAGTGTTCACATATGAAAAATTATTGTGAGGCAGTGTCAGGAAGAGAGACAACACAAATTTTTAGAGTTTTTCACTTACATTATCTCAAATTTAATATACGACATAACATTGAAATTGACAGGTCAAAAATAACATTTAAAAACACTAAAAGAAAAATCCTCTCAGGTATCTCAAAGGTGCGAACTCTTTTCCCCCTCTTCATTAAAGGATGTATACCTCTTCAGTCACAGGTGATTTTGATGAAATTGGTGACACATGCAAGTGGCCGTCGATGGATATCTTCCGAATACTTTCACCATCAACGCTGGTGTTCCCCAGGAATCCATATTGTCTCCAACTCTCTTTTTATCGTATATCAACGACTTATTGGCAAAAACCAAGAATGCAATATATTGCTTTGCTGACGACAGCACACTTGTCTCGTCATTCCATTTGGATTTCAGGACATGGGCTACGGAGGCACATCTTCACCTGCAGCAGGAGGTTGCATATCTCAATGAGGATCTAGAAGTGATTTCAAATTGGGGTGAAAATAACCAGGTTCAATTCAATGCCACAAGAAGCCAGGCATCGGTTTTATCCAAGAAGATAAATGTCTCTGAACCGGATATAATAATGTCAGGACAGATAGTTCTGCTTTATGCTTCGATAAGTTTGTTGGGGGTTGAAATGGTCACCAATATGTCTTGGCTTGGAACACTGTTTCGTACCAGAAAACTGTACACACTTTAGTAACTTTT